TCAACAAATTTATTTATGTCAAACATTAATAAAAGATACATAATGTGTTGTTATGTGAGTTTATGTGAAAAGTATTATTAAATAGGTAACCGTTAACAAAAAAAGTTTAGCCAAATTCCTATGCCAGAGAATCGCCGATCAACTTACGACATTACGTTTCGACATCTCGGTGCGTTTCCCCATACTATTACGAAAATGTAGTTGTTCAATTTAAGCTCCGTTCCATGTAAGTTCTGTAAGTTTTTTTCAAATCGCCTATGCGTATACGTATAGCATGTTTTTTTTCCGGCTCACTTTCATGTTGATCTCGCGTCTAACATTACGTAAACACGTGATTGATAATAACCTCGTGAATTATTTCAATATTTATTAAATGAAGCATCGTAAAAATAGTCTGCGTTAACTATTTTTTTCCTTGGAGTAGATTTGAAGAGGATGTATTGATTGTCCACGCTTCTAGTATAAACATATTTTTTATAATCCCTTATCAGTCAAATCAGTCTGTAGTTATGACAATGCAGTAGGGCTTCGTAATTCACGCCACGTGTTGGCGAGTGAAAAAAACAACAACACGGTCCGTCGATCGCGACTGCAAATCATTTCAATTAGTAGAGCTATTGTTAACGGGTAATCACAGAGATAGTGTTAGCTCATTACTGCATTGTAATTTGTAAAAAAAATCTCGCCAAACCACGGACTTAGATAATCTAATTCCGTGGCCAAACTGAACTGTGACATGACCTGGTTTGAAGTGACGTAACCCAAGCCGCCATGATGAGCCCTTCTTACTGATCGTAATTATGATCAATAAAAGGTATCTAATTATGTCTTTCACCAGGAGATATGCACCAGCGGTTACTAAACATCGAATTACTTATTAATTTATATGTTTTTGTAAGCAAGCAAATGTTTTATGTAAAATATTGCTAAATGGAATTGATGTATGCCGATATGCGCACACGTGTGTGTCATGTGTGATCAGATAATTCAAAGAAAACAAGCAACAAAATACACATTTTACGTAGTTTCTTCTTGGTTTTAAATATCATTTTACATCAATGAAAAAAAAATCATAGAAATATATTTTTAAAAAAAATAATCAGAGATCGATTTTCTGAGCATGAACATCGTTTTTTTTCCAGATTTTTTGGGTGCGCAAAATATTCGAGTAGAAGCTTTTTTCCCGATTTTCAGCCTCAAAAAGTACCTGCGCAAATTACACAGGTGCGCAAATTACATGGGTTTTTACGGTAGTCTTTTCCCCCCAAAAACACATTTATTTTAACAAAAAGGACAAGAAATTCAAGGATATGGGCCACTATGTAACTAATACAACCACAATAACTGTGAAGTTAGGATACCCGGTTGGTTTGTAATTGATTAAAAAATTAAACAAGTCTTACATCAGCTCCACAAACATGTACCGGGCAACTTTCCAATTACAAATTGCTTCATTCAAATGCATTTCATGTTAAATCCATATAAGCACCAAGGTTTATCAATTCACTGAAACTCAAATAATTTTTTTTATCAGTTCTAACTTCAAACCTAATTCAGCACTACTTGTAAACTTGCCAAATAAGGTGTTTGGAGCGCGCACTCGCCTTTCATCAATGCATCCAGGGTTTGATTCCCCAGTCGAACATGAAAAGGTATGGATTCACCTGCCAGACCATGTGGGTTTTCCATGGGTACCCCAGTTTCCTCCCAACATTAAGAGCCCTTGCAAGCTACCATCCAGGCCAACAAGAGTGATTAATATATGTTAATAAAACTTGTTTCATAATTGTTTTAAATAAATAGAGTTTGTCTTTAATCCTCAGATTATTGGAACTTTCAGAATTACTTGTAATTAAAAACTGAATGATTTTGTAGGTACAATGATCCATATCTTAAAGCACGCTACTCATGACTATACCGAGTGAGACTATACCGCTTACACAAACATGAAGTTCACCCCTTAAAAACTCCTATGCAGTTTTAGATTTATTTATATGAAAACAAACACGGTAGAGATAACACCTGACACCAGTGACTCACCTGTCCTCCTTAATTATTACTTACCTGTGAGTCACTCTCCCCTATATTACCTAGTACCTGTCGTTTTGCACATGCATCGCCCATGCAGAGCAGCCATTATATACTCCCTGTCTGCACGTACTTTCTGTCCTTGACATGCATTCACAAGTCTAGCTAGAACTTATTTAAAACAGGGAGGATAGCTTTTGGGAAAGAATAAAAGCTTTATGGCAAGAAAAAGTTTGTGCTACCATGCAAAATGTTTTTGTACTTTCACTAAAAAAACTTTTGAAACAAGAATATCAAAGTATATTTAAAAGAAGAGGCTCTTGGCACTTGGGGCCTGTATTGTGAAACTAGTTATCTATTTGTTTTGGTAAAATAAAAGTTAAGCAAAGTATCAAGCCATGATTCAGAAGTTATCTTTAAGAATTTCCTCCATTTTCCTCTTAATCAGTTTCATCAATTTGCCCCCTATAATGCCTGCATTTTTACTGCATCTATTCAGCTCCATCCCTTTTAAAGTCAGATGAGATAATATGACTTATTTTTCACTTCGGATTGATAGCTGATATTAACATTTCAGCATTAAAACCCTGCAATACGATTATCTGTTGGGGAACAATTTCGAAATAAAATAATACGTCATACTGTGATTTTTCCCCCCCCAAACACTGCAGGATATTGCATTAACCAACACAGTAGCGTAAATGGTGCCAATCGTTGCTCACTTGGCTACCGGTCTGATGAATATTACATAAAGGTGTGAAGCTGTTTCTATTCATGTATATTTATGTTGTGCTGCTAATTGGCCAAGCAGTGGGAAGATCGGTAGAGAATAGTTCCACCTCAACCCAGAGGACCAGATAAATCTGTCAAGAGTGATATTTAGAAGCCAAGGACTAAGGGAGAAAACATGATGTATAAACTATTTTATTTCTACAACCAACAGTAATATTGTTCAAGGAGAGGTAATATGCACAGATTCAGACCTGGTACCTTCCAAACTTTAGAAGGACACTCCAAGTAAGTGTGCTACCTGGTCGCCGGCGATTGACCCAGTCCCTACCTTCATCCCTCCTTTTTTACAAAGTCTTTAACCCCAAAGACACAAGACCCTATACCACCAGCAGTGGGTATATTTCATTGTGCACCAAATGTAACAGGAGAGGAAAAATGCACGGTCTGACCAAGATTTGAACCTGGAACCCTCAAAACTACACGGATGCTCTACCTGGTAGCCAGTGATTGACCCCGCTACTTCCACTACGATATTATGCTACCAAAGCTAGCCCGAACAGACTTAATATGGATGTTACTTGACTTACAATGATGACGGGAGCGTAAACTGTTTACACAATGACACGTCAGCATATACAAATCTTTATACAACAAGTGTGAAGTATCCTGAATACAATCTACTGCCATCATCAGCTTTACCATTATAACTTGTTATTTCTCACACCCAGATCATATTCCAAAAGAGTTATAGCTTCATAATTAGAAGAAAGTCGGTCAGCCAGTGTAGCAGACATGATTTAACAACAAAATACCTATCTAGATTGCATAAAGCATTGTCAGTATACATCATAATACCTCACGACGAGAAAATATCCAATTTAATAATTTGAAATCGTTTCAAATCAATTTGTGTAACAGCTTCTATGTTTTGCAGACAAAGATGTTGAAGAAATTTTATCATTATAAGATTTCCTGAGATACTGTAGCACTGTCCCAGCTAAAGTAGCTGACATTGGGTAGGATAAGTGGAGGTATATCATACCAGTGAGGTTCCACACCAGTGATCCCAGGTTCATCTGTCACTGACAGGTTCCACATGAGTGATCCACACATTCCTTACTATCATTTTACAAATGCTGGCCTCTTAGAAAAGCCTGGTCATCTGACATCAAAACTTGTGATGTGTTTGCCAAATTTACATATTTTATATATATATTGCAGCAATGTCCAAACCTTCTTTAAATATATTTTTATTTAAGTATTACCCAAACCTTGGTAAAAAATATGTGTTTTATATATTTTACCAATGCCCAAACCTTTCATCAGCATAGCTTTAGGCAGGTGAAACACTTTGACAAAATGTAAGATGACAATGCTCTACACAAAGATATGGCATAGATCATATTTCTATGCCTGGTTAGCTTGACATCAAAATAACATGACATTCTTTTTCTGCAGTTATTCAACCATTTCTGAAAACTCCTATTGCAATTGAAGCTGGCTCATTGTCCCAATTAAAAGAACAGGAAATGCACCAAATTTGTTATTTTTTTTTAGAAAGAAATGAGTAGAATTTCAAAATTAGAGATGATTTTTAATAAATCTAACCGATCGATGAATAGGTGTGTTTGGGTGATAAATATAGGAGTAAGCCGATCCGTCTCGGGGTCAAACCTTCAGGAAAACAACAATATCCTCAATAGCATATTGAAACTCATGTCAAAAAACGCCAATACAGAATCTTGTTTCAGCACATTCCTAGGGTGTCATCTTTTTCTTCTTTTATCAAAATCAAAAACCATGTCACAATATTTCATCATTAAAATTTTACACTTTTCTCAGCTTCCGTTCTTGAACAATCGAACTTATCCAAAGAATTTAATTTTGTTCTGGTTTGAGGTAAATTCTCACGACTGTCTCTGTATGTACTTAACACAAAGATTACGTGAACAGACTGTTAAAGATGGTAATAAAAGCACATCTGCTTTCTCTGCAAGTATAGCATACAGGCAAACACCTGGCCTGCACTTCTAGCACACAAAGTAAATGACAGTATGAATTCTCTTATTTACAGTGGTACAAATTAAGGGTTGGGAAGGGTCAGGGCATTTTTAAAAAGAAAATTGGCAGGCATGATATTTCAGTGTTATTTAGTCCTCAGAAAACCTCCCTGGATCTACCACAGAAACAGATAAGCCCTGACTGTCTGTTAGATTGATCCTACTTCTTGCATCCCTTACCTTTTCAAAGTTATTTTAATCCCTGGAACAGCATGATCGGAGAGTAAACTTTAAACCCTGCAAAACAAAACAAAAGCTCTTCAGTTATACGTTGATATCAATCTCTGCAGCATGTAGATCATGTCAAAACAACATAAAATTCTTCATACTCTTCATACGTTTTATCTAATCTATACTACATGTAGACATTATCCGACAGGACATTTACCTTGACCCTTTCAAGTACCTTATACACTATAAACATATGTAACAGGAAAGAGTGTAGTGTGCTACCACCAAGGATCAAACCTGCGTACCCCATTCAGTCTGACGCATTCTCTATAGCGCATTCTCTATAGCGCAGAGCTAGAAGGCTACAGCACTACTCCCCCCATTTTAAAATGTGTTCCCCCTTGAACACCACAACAACCCAGGTTCTAACTCCGTGTCACTACTGGGACGGCCATGGACACCATTTAATAAAGGAATGAGAGTAGTGTGTTTCCACCAAAAGGATCAAACCTGTGACCCCCAGCTTCCCAATCAGACGTTTTTGAGTTAAAGGGAAATTCCCTCTAGTTCAAAGCTAAAGGGTGACTGTAATCCTATATATCTGCCACACATGTCATCGGAAATCCAATTCATACTCGTCACTCAGAGTTAATTTTGAAAAATTGGAAAAATTACCAACAGCCCATGTTGAGATGACAATGCTTTAACTCATGTCCATAATTGCAGACAAGTACATGTGTATGTCTGCTAGCCACAACCAGTACATGTATTTTTACCAAGAGTTCTTGTATCTAATTGACTCAACCGTAAAAATGATGGGATTCCTTTATCTATGCAATTGTAACAGGTCAGCAGCCCAAACCTGGCTAGAATGAGGCCCTCCTATTGTAACAGGTCAGCAGCCCAAACCTGGCTAAAATGAGGCCCTACTATTGTAACAGGTCAGCAGCCCAAACCTGAACACAAGCTTGAAGACTATAAGGAAGACTGGGAGATCCCAGGAGGACTTATGGCAGGTGTTTGAAGGAGATGTAAACACTGATACACTACCGGTGTATCTTCAGGTACTTCTCTTGTATCTAATTGACTCAACCGTAAAAATGATGGGATTCCTTTATCTATGCAATTGTAACAGGTCAGCAGCCCAAACCCGGCTAGAATGAGGCCCTACTATTGTAACTGGTCAGATAGCAGGACAAACCTGGCTAGAATGAGGCCCTACTATTATAACTGGTCAGCAGCCCAAACCTGGCTAGAATGAAGTCCTACTATTGTAACTGGTCAGCAGCCCAAACCCGGCTAGAATGAGGCCCTACTATTGTAACTGGTCAGCTAGCTGGACAAACCTGGCTAGAATGAGGCCCTACTATTGTAAGAGGTCAGCAGCCCAAACCTGGCTAGAATGAGGCACTACTATTGTAACAGGTCAGCAGCCCAAACCTGCCTAGAATGAGGCCCTACTATTGTAACTGGTCAGCTAGCAGGACAACCCTGGCTAGAATGAGGCCCTACTATTGTAACAGGGCAGCAGCCCAAACCTGAACACAAGCTTGAACACTATAAGGAAGACTGGGAGATCCCAGGAGGACTTATGGCAGCTGTTTGAAGGAGATGTAAACACTGATACACTACCGGTGTATCTTCAGGTACTTCTCTTGTATCTAATTGACTCAACCGTAAAAATGATGGGATTCCTTTATCTATGCAATTGTAACAGGTCAGCAGCCCAAACCTGGCTAGAATAAGGCCCTACTATTGTAACTGGTCAGCAGCCAAAACCTGGCTAGAATGAGGCCCTACTATTGTAAGAGGTCAGCAGCCCAAACCTGGCTAGAATGAGGCTCTACTATTGTAACAGGTCAGCAGCCCAAACCTGCCTAGAATGAGGCCCTACTATTGTAACTGGTCAGCTAGCCGGACAAACCTGGCTAGAATGAGGCCCTACTATTGTATCAGGTCAGCAGCCCAAACCTGGCTAGAATGAGGCCCTGCTATTGTAACAGGTCAGCAGCTCAAACCTGGCTAGAATGAGGGCCTACTATTGTAACAGGTCAGCAGCTCGAACCTGGCTAGAATGAGGCCCTACTATTGTAACCGGTCAGCAGCCCAAACCTGGCTAGAATGAGGCCCTGCTATTGTAACAGGTCAGCAGCTCAAACCTGGCTAGAATGAGGCCCTACTATTGTATCAGGTCAGCAGCCCAAACCTGGCTAGAATGAGGGCCTACTATTGTAACAGGTCAGCAGCTCGAACCTGGCTAGAATGAGGCCCTACTATTGTAACAGGGCAGCAGCCCAAACCTGAACACAAGCTTGAACACTATAAGGAAGACTGGGAGATCCCAGGCGGACTTATGGCAACTGTTTGAAGGAGATGTAAACACTGATACACTACCGGTGTATCTTCAGGTACTTCTCTTGTAACTAATTGACTCAACCGTAAAAATGATGGGATTCCTTTATCTATGCAATTGTAACAGGTCAGCAGCCCAAACCCGGCTAGAATGAGGCCCTACTATTGTAACTGGTCAGCTAGCCGGACAAACCTGGCTAGAATGAGGCCCTACTATTATAACTGGTCAGCAGCCCAAACCTGGCTAGAGTGAGGCCCTACTATTGTAACTGGTCAGCTAGCAGGAAAAACCTGGCTAGAATGAGGCCCTACTATTGTAACAGGACAGCAGCCCAAACCTGGCTAGAATGAGGCCCTACAATTGTAACAGGTCAGCAGCCCAAACCTGGCTAGAATGAGGGCCTACTATTGTAACAGGTCAGCAGCTCGAACCTGGCTAGAATGAGGCCCTACTATTGTAACAGGTCAGCAGCCCAAACCTGAACACAAGCTTGAACACTATAAGGAAGACTGGGAGATCCCAGGAGGACTTATGGCAGCTGTTTGAAGGAGATGTAAACACTGATACACTACCGGTGTATCTTCAGGTACTTCTGTCAAGTTATCCTCCACATTGTTTGAAAGTTTGAAGTAGAGAACTTGACTTGGGAGAGAGGCCTGGTGGATCTATCTGATCTGGTTGTAATAGCCATATGTCATGTTTTTCTACATTTGGCATGGCAGCCAATATTGAGTACAGCTGAACAGTGCTATCACTTTGTTACCACTTGATCATGAGAACGTTATGTACCTTGTGGATAATTTTGGCTTGCACCTATGTGCAATAGGAACCAAAACGAAATATCAAAACAACAAACATGTGATAGAGTAAACATTCACAGGTTCATCATTTAAACCCACTGGATATGTCATAAGTATAACATTATATGATATTATATAAATATATTCCCAAGGTCGATGTCTATAAAATACATTTAATAGAATGTGACATGAACATTTGCTTAAAATAAAAAAAGAGCATCAACTGAATCTATTAAGTCAAAGGGTCTTCAATGTAATGCTTTGTTTTTATTACAAAGCAGCAGCGGTACAACAATAATTGCTATAAACCTTTGCCCATTGTTTGATTAACAAGTGAGATCCCTTACTTTAGCCTGATCACGTAACAGGATGGTAGGTATCCAGTGTCTATCTGATCATAATGACAATAGAAAGCATTACGAAAGACAGACACAATTAATTTACTTTATTTAGACGTGCATTTTACATCTTGGCAGACTTTATAATTGCCTTTGTGTTAATATAAATCCCTTTAAGGTCCCTGTCCCAACGCAGGCGAAACCCAGGAGAATTCCATTGTACTTTTTTGTACATACAGTAGCCTCCCCTTAATTTCATTTTCTTTTTAAATTTTCCTGCAGGGCGACTGGACTACTATAAGGGTTCTACGTTTGACGAGATAGCTGATCAGTTGGTTAGAGCGACAGTAATGATCAGATATCCAGGGTTTGAATTCCAAGGACCTGTTGCAGTTTTACACTTATATTATTATTGTGGATTGTTTTCAATTACATTTTTTCAAGAAAGTTCGGCAAGATAATGTTTTCTTTCCAGCAATGATTCATCAAAGCCACAGTCATGCTGGAAAAACGTGTTCAAAGCACTTTTACAGTTTATGGCAGTGTTACGTGGACCCTTAAGCCAAGGAACTATAGGCCAACAACAACAGACAAATTCCCCTTCTCCTCCCCGACCTCCTTCTTTTACTTAATCCATTCTGCATCAGTCACACATTTCAAATAGCTTATAAATAGATTTTGATTTGTGCATCATGTACACGCTACATTGAAGATATTGCACTATAAACTCTTTATCAAATTAGGTAGCCACATTTGTATTTATTGAATAAGGTAGCTCTGTGCATGTCTATATTTGTACTTACGATGACATTAAAATCAAAAGACTTACACGACGGAATAAATATACAATATAGCGCAATAAAGTAATAGTGTAGTGACATGTAAGCCTTGGCTGAATATATACTTGGATGTAAGCCAGGATTGTTAAAACAATTTTAGCATCAACCTTTCCATTAACAAACAAATTTTCCAGGAAATATGACCAGATAATTGTTTTTCCATCAATTTCTTTTACATTCAAAATAACAAAGGTTGATGTTTTGACACTATACCAGTTTAAAGCTACGTAGTTGTCTAATTGTATGTACAAATCAGAATTGAGGGTCAATCACTTTATACTCAGAAATGAATATTATAATGGGATAGATATTAGGGAACTTTTATATGACTAAATTATGATCTATCAGGGTTGAAGGATGCTTACGTCACTGTCTCAAATCATCAAAGTATTTACAAATGATGTCAGAATTGACCACTTAACCATCAACAAAAGTATTATTTTCATAATCTGTGGATATAAATGTAATGGGCGAAATCAAAGTGCAACCATCCAGCCATGACCACGTTGGACGTTACTGAAATAGTGAGCGCATGCCAGGATTACAACGAATTGCTGGAAAAGCTAGCTTGTCGGTGAGGCAGTATTTTCCCTTCATATTCCTTGGCTGTTACACTATTGCCCTGTCAAAAATGTGTGGTCCCCAGACTTGGCCTAAGGAATCCTGTGGATCCTCCCTTGTACCAATGGACCTTCCCTAACCACCGAGAACTGACATCACATGATGCGACAGGAAT